ATATGTATTATTTTTACTAGGCCAAACACAAACACAATTCCTTAAATTAGTCTATAAATTTTATCTTGACACTCTAATTCAATCTTGTTTCATTTTAACCCTCTAACTTCATTTTTCATATACGAGTATCATTTAAACACAAAATGCTGACTAAGTACAAATTAATGAGATTATTACTCACCTCCTAAAGCGCATAAGGGATTCTTGTTATAGTTAATATTCAATATTTTTATTATTAATTAAGAGTCTATTCCCCTATTTATTTCCTCTATTTTTTCTTCAACTTCATTTTTTCCCTTCATCTACTTTACTTAATTCATTTATTTTCTTTATCTACCTCCTTTTCTATCAACACTCTCTTGGCTAAATATATATCTTGAGGAAAAAAATATTAGATTTATTTTTTTACTTTTTACTGTGTGAATAGAAGTACTTTAAATGGGTTGAAGCTCAGATTTCAAATCAAGTCAACAATGTTACTTATGCGTTGCTAAACAAGGCAAGAAAAAGATGTCAAATTGTCTAGGTGAAAGATGTTTTGGCTATGTCTTCCTTGTAGAATGATCATATATATCGAAAAATCGGGTCGAATCAAATTAAAAAATCGAACTAAATTGAATCGAACTTTAAAACGAAATGAACCAAATCCAATTATTTATCGAACCAAACTAAAAAAAAAGTACTAAATCGAATCAAACTTTATAAAAATGATCACCTTGATACATATTCGGTAGACGCCACTGACAAATTAAAAATTGAAGTACCGAATTGGAGTTAGAAAATAATCGAACGTCCATCCCTACTTCCTTTGTGTTTGGTGATATAATTCAAGTAAATGTTGATGATATTTCATTTGTGAAATAAGCTAGTTTAAGTATAAGATTTTACAAATTTTCATATACCGAATATTGAACAAATAATTGATAATAATTGAGGGTTTCATATCTTAAGAATAGGGAACGATTGTTAGATTGAAGAGTATGTAGGGACTTAGGGTTGTTTTGGAGAAATAATTATTTTTTACCTTTTTAATATTTATCTAATACTATGTTAAATATTTATTATTATTTTTTGTATTTAAATGATATATTAAAAAATGGAGTTAAAGGACGAAATAAGCTATTGAAATGTAAAAATAAATAATAAATGAAAGTAAATCTAAGGAATTGTATATGTATATGGCCTTTTTTCTATTTGATTTTTCAGTCCAATATTCATATTAAAGCTAAAGCACTCCCTAATAACAAAAATATTTTTATATCTACAAAAATTTAAATTTCAAATCTCTAATTCACAATGATCCATACAATCCTTGTTGGTGTATTTTTCTATTACATCCCATCAAATGATCCTTAATGATAAGTTAAAGAAATAGTTGAACCCCAAATCATTAAATGAAATCCGGTGGGTGCTTTGAGACGTGTGAGCATGGCAGTATATCCATGGTTGATTCACAATATTAGTAAGATGGCAGTACATGTGTCCATCTCATTCTCATTTTAGGGCCCCTTTAATTTGACCTATTTGAAATTAAAATTTTATTCGAATATGTAATTTGAATTTTAAGATAGGTACTCCATCTGTTTCAAAAAGAATTATCTAGTTCTCATTCTCATTTTAGGGCCCCTTTAATTTGACCTATTTGAAATTAAAATTTTATTCGAATATGTAATTTGAATTTTAAGATAGGTACTCCATCTGTTTCAAAAAGAATTATCTAGTTCTCATTCTCATTTTAGGGCCCCTTTAATTTGACCTATTTGAAATTAAAATTTTATTCGAATATGTAATTTGAATTTTAAGATAGGTACTCCATCTGTTTAAAAAAGAATGATTTAGTTTGACTTGAAACGAAATTTAAAAAAAGAAACAAGACTTTTTAATCTTGTAATTCTAAATTAAAGTTATATCAAATGTACCAAAATGTCTTTTAATATTGTGGCCTTAAACATACCACATGAAAAGTTGAAGTTAAAATCTTGCAGATAAAAGAAATGGGTCATTCTTTTTTAAACAAAGGGAATATTTATTTTTTTTAAAATAGACAAGTAAAAATGATTGAAGTGAGTCATAACTTAATTCGAAGACAAATAAATAATTTGAAGCAATATAACGTTTGTTCTTTGTTTGGTTGGAGAGAAAGGCAAGGAAGGAAGTAAAAAAAGATTTCTTTCTCCTCGATCTAAATTCTAAGTGATGTTATAGATACGTTAACAAGACATTGAAAAGAAAATTTTCTCCAAATAAAATATAGTGTAACACTACAATAAAAATAATATTTAGCGGTAATGAATATATATATTAACAAAGAGTATATTAAAGTGATTTTTATCAACAATAGTTAAATGTCAGTGGATTCAATGACGATACGTTTTAGGAACATTTATAAAGAGTGTTCATTACTGCTAAAAATATATATTTAGCAAAAATTAAAATTATTATTATTAATTAATTATTGCTAAAAATTATTTTTGACTAAGCATAAATAGATCAAATCCATGCAGAGATAGGGACAGTGAACTTAATGCATGCCATGAAAACGCACATCTCAAAAAGGTCTTCTTGAGATGTATTTCGATATGGGCAGTCACAGAGTCCCCTCACTGAACATTGCACAAGAAAATTAATGGGCCATTATTAAATTTATAAGGTGGAAAAGGATGTAAAGTGCCCAGGTAGGTGTTATAGGTGGACGTTTGATAGGATGTATAAGAATAACGTTTAAATAAAGCGTATTAGTAATATTTGTATTAGTTATGTTTATATTATTTATATACGGAGACTATTTCTCATGCATTATTTGTTTTGGTGTATTAAAAATATTATGCATTTCTATTGTCCACAAATATGATGAAAAAGATATATATATAGCAAATGTTTTAGGCAATTGGGTCGATAATCATGTTAATATATGTATTAAAATCTTTTGCATTTTTCATGTATTTGTAAAACACACCTCAATACACAATAGGTTGAAAAGGTGTAATTAGCAAACAAGGTATATACTACTAATTAATACACAAAGATAATACATACAATATTTCTTCTAATATATTCTACCAAACGATTTTGTAGAGAGCAGAAAATACTTAGTTCTCTCTAGCTCTTATTTTCTCCATGTTTGTTAGGCAGCAGAAGTTAGGTACTTCATTAGGATTAGTAAGGTAAGGCCTAGTTCCTCTTGCTTGTACTTATCCCTATTGATATTTTTTTATGTTTAATAAAAGGCCGCTATACATTGTGTAATGGTAAATTTGCTTAAAACAAAAAAAAAAGACTCATTATTAATTTCCTATTTTTGCGGAAATATCCATTCAAATTTTACCACTACTAATTCGGATATTGCACCTCCCTAAATAAACAATAATTTATATGAATATTTTATTATAAATAATTTGATGTCTTAAAAATTATTTGGAGAATATATAAGTGATGAATAAATATTTTTTTAATATATGAAAAGTGAAAAGTAAAATGAATATATTCTTTTAGTATAACGAACAGATAAAATTGTACGGAGGTAGAAATATTTATCAAGTCATATAGTGCAAAGTAGGTTACCAAGGGCCCTAAATCATATATAGCGTGGTTCAATAAAAATTAGTCACGTAACAATTAAACTTGACTTTATAGGCACCTCCCTAATTATTATACACCATCATTTGATTTAACTCAACTCCCAACTAATTCTCTCAATATTCCTCCATTGATTAATTTACTCTCAATTTCCTATAAATACGCAAAGTTGTCACTAGCTTTTGCATCCAACACTCAAGCAAATACATTTGTAGTACTATATCATTCTCTACTATTTCTATCGATCTTTACTCATCAATTTTTGTAACAATGGAAATGTTTGGCAAAATTGCATGTTTTGTGCTTTTGTGCATGGTGGTGGTTGCACCCCATGCAGAGGCATTGACTTGCGGCCAAGTTACGTCTGGCTTGGCTCCATGCCTCCCTTATCTTCAGGGTCGCGGCCCTATTGGAGGGTGTTGTGGTGGTGTTAAGGGTCTGTTGGGTGCAGCCAAGACCCCAGCAGACCGGAAAACAGCATGCACTTGCCTGAAATCAGCAGCTAATTCTATTAAGGGCATTGATACGGGCAAAGCTGCTGGTCTCCCTGGAGTTTGTGGAGTCAACATTCCTTACAAGATAAGCCCTTCCACGGACTGCTCCAAGTATGTTTTTAATACTACTATCAAATTATATTGAGTTAGAATAACATAGCATAATACGATTAATTAAATCATACTAACTGTCATATGTATATAACTTAAACTCTTTCTGCTATATATCCTACAATACCTATTTACGAAGGACGATGCATATTTTTTTGGACATAGTAAAGTTTATTTTGTTAATGTTGGTTTAATTTGAGCATATGCAGGATCCAGTGAGGCTGATCGATGAAAGCTCAATTTTTCCAACGCAATGTAGCTTGTGGAGAAGTAATGATAATAATAATAAGATGGATCGAGTTTGATCTTGCTCATGGATCCATTACTATATGTTGTATCTTTTTTTTCTTTTTTCTTTTTTAATTTGTGTCCATCTTTGGGAGTCATTATCGAGCCTTGTATTGTACTACAATCCAATCTTTGATAATACATCTTCAACTATCTTTCTTAGTCCAATGTTGCAGATTTAATTCCAGCTTTCAACTTTTTTCAATTTTAATGTTAGTAAGAAACATGAAATTAGGACAGACAAAATTCCGTAACTAAATAACAAAAAACTTTCTTTAAATCAAAATGACTTAGCTATGTTAGCTAATTAAATGTTTGCTTAATCGCGTAATTTCTATGCGACCGTATATTCATATTGATTCATATTTAATTATCTAACCTTAATTATATATACTATAATATGTCTATGCAATATATATATATATATATATATATAATATGAAAATTCAAAACACAATTAATAAAGATAATTTCATATTCATAAAAGACGTTTCTGAAACATTCAATGTAAAATCAAAATAAACAGACTTTATAGGCAAACAATACATGATACATGTATATGATGTATAATGTATTCAATATAATATAGAAATTTCATTATTCCTCACTTTTTGTTAAGGCGCAAGGAGTTGTGTGTCAAATATTTCTTTGATTTCCTTTCTTAATATTAAATTAGTGTCACGAAATGAAGAAATTAACAATATATATATAGACACAATGTGTTTTCTTTTAGAAAACCTTACATTGTGTGAAGCTGCCAAATTAATTGAATAAATTAATTTTCAACAGAGAAAGATTGAACTAAAAAAATATTTTAAAAAGAATAGATTACACTTGTGTAATTACTTGACTGTAAAGTACCCCGAATATATTTTAACTATCAATTTAGCTTTTCACGTCCATTGAAAAAAAAAAGTATAGGTTACCATGCATTTCCTATTTATTAGTTATTTTTTCAAATCAAGTTATATTATGAAAATATTACTTTTTAAATATTCAGGTATAGTTAAAAACATTTTTTAATATTCAGGGTATATATAAATTCTTTAACTGTTACTTATTTTGGAATTAAGTTTTTGTGCTAAGCGATAATTAAAATGGGATGAAGAAAGTAATTTTATTTTTTTTTGGTTTCTCACTCGATGTTTGGTATTTATATTAAAGTCTGACGAAATTTGAATTCGTATCGATCGACGAAATTTGGATTCGCATCAAAAAGTCCACACAGAGGCCAAAGTTCCTTAACAAAGGCAAGTCTATACACAGGATGACTAGAATCTGAAACATCTAATCATATATATATATATATATATATATATAAAAGAGAAACCTTAGGTCTGCCTACGTGGTGCCACTACAAACAAGAATTCTCTTTTAATTTATTTATTTACAAAACTAGTCTTCTCCTTTCATAAAAAATTGTGAAATTTATGAAAAGTTGTGACATTTATGAAAAGTTGCGACTTTAATGAAGAGTTGTGACTTTTATGAAAAGTTGCGACTTTAACGAAGAGTTGCAACTTTTATGAAAAGTTGTGAATTTTATGAAAGATTGTGACCTTTCCGAACGGTTGCAACTTTCCCAAATAGTTGTAACCTTTCCGATAAGACACAATAAACATTTGTTCACACTACCCTTTGTTGTCTATAAATAGTGGGATGTATTCTCATTTTAAAACAACGAAAGCTTTGAACCTCTTCTTCTTCACAATTAAATATTTGTGTACTTTGCTCCTGTTGAGTGGCTCACTGACACAATTGTTTATATTACAGATCATGATATGTATTTTTAGAGTCATAATTTATGCTTATGTTATTAAGGATAAAATGATAAGATATAATAATTTTCATTTTCCTTTACATTATTAATGTTTGTTACTACGTAATCTTATATGTAAGATAATATATTGTTTTAGTTTTAATGACTGATAAATTTTTAAATATTATTTTATAAATTCTGTGATATTAAATTTTCGCGTAAAGTTATCACTCAGGGAGAGAGAAAGTAGTTCATTGGAGTGTGAAAGCAGGACCATAAATGAAATTGGTGGATAGGTGAGACTAGTGAGCATGACATATTCATACACGGCTCCGTCGACTATTAGATTGGAACTATGTGTCCATTTCATCTTGTACATTGTACATGATGCAATTGACTAGAGAAGACGAAAATATCCACTTTATTTGATCGAGGATATTACGAGCTTGTTTGATATTATTGTTGGAAAATTAAAAATATTATTAATTTTTTTTTAAAACTCATGTGTTGGTAAATCCTTAAACTGCTCTTAAATGAAAGGAGAAATAGTTTTTCTTCCATGTATCAATAAGCTATAATACTTAATTTGACGTATGTACATATTTATGTCAAATAACACTATGATAAAAATAGCTTTTAGTGGCAATAGATATGTACATTAACAAAGAGTGCTAAAATCTCTATCGATATTAGTTAATTGTCATTAGATTTAATATCGCTATAGACTTTAGCGACGAATTGTCACCTTGCCCCTAAAAACATACTTTAATTACCTCTAAATAGATCCCTTTTTTTTTATTTAATTTATAGTATAATAATATGCGAAATTCTTTTTTAAAATTTTAAAATTCATTATAACCAATCAAACTAAAGCACATAAAATTTACACATACAAATAATGACAAGTAGAAAGTAGGTCACCAAAATTAAGTGAACTAGATAAAAAGGAAGAAAGGACAAACTCTATGTTTACCTCAACTACCAACTAATTCTCTCATCACTCTATTAATTAATCAATCACTTCCAATTTTTCCCTCTATAAAAAACCCTAAGATCTCACTAGCTTTTGCACCCATCACTCAAGCAAATACATTACATTACATTTAATATAAACATGGAAATGGTTAGCAAAATTGTATGCTTTGTGTTTTTGTGCATGGTGGTGGTTGCACCCCATGCAGAGGCAATGAGCTGCAGCCAAGTTTCGTCTAGTTTGGCTCCTTGTGTCCCTTATCTTCAAGGGCGCGGCCCTCTAGGAGGCTGTTGCGGTGGTGTTAAGAGTCTGGTGGGTGCAATCAAGACCCCAGCGGACCGAAGGACAGCATGCACTTGTATAAAATCAGTAGCTAATGCTGTTAAGGGACTTGATACCGGCAGAGCCGCTGGTCTCCCTAGTACTTGTGGCGTTAACATCCCTTACGATATCAGCCCCTCCGTTGATTGCTCCAAGTATATACGTTAATTTATAAGTTTATACTATATAGTAATTATTTTGTGATACTATATATCGTAAGTCTCACATGTTATAGAAGGAGATGTAACATGTTTAATTCTAACTTTTCACATGACATGTTTACTGAACAAGTGCATTTTTTATAAGTATATTCTACATATTTTAAGTTGCTAATGTTGGTTTAATGTGGGGATGCAGGATCTAGTAAGGTTGATGAAAGCTGATCCACTACACAATATGGAAGTCACTATATGAAGAATAAAAGGGATCGAACTAGTTTGATCCTGTTTTGTAATTTGTACCGATCTGTGTTTCTTTTTATTATTTTGTGTCTTTTAATTTGGAGTCATATATAGCTAGTCAGTGTCTTGTAATGAAACTTTGGTTGTTGCTTCTTCAACAATCCAGTCTTCATGTATATATAATAAATTATACATAAATAATCTATAGTTCTATCTTATTTGGTTGTTGCTTATATTAATTAAATAAAAACATGTGTTATTTTATGCTGCCATTTCCCTTATACAATACTTGTGATTGTTGACAACTCCATTAATGCCCTAGTACATAAATAAATCACTAGGTATATAAAGGTTTATAATTCTTGTTGTAGACATGTTAAAGGAACTGGTTCTCATAAGTAATTTTCTATTATAATCACTATCGGTCCTTATTATATAACACAATTTCTCACTGATAGCTATTAAGCCTGTTAAATGGGTCAGATCGACCCGGTTAGACCGGCCCAATAAGGGATCGGCCGATTAGACCAGACCGGTAGCCGGATGGGGCATTAGCCCAGTTAGACCGGCCGGTAGCCGG